AAGGATAGCAAAACCAGGATGCAGTGTATTTACAAGGTGAGATGTAAAAGCTTAGGTATATTCTATCTGGACATTTTTGAGGCAGAAACTCCAAATGCCATCTAGTCCTAACCACAGAAGACAGTCATCATGTGAATTTTTAAAAAACAAGTTGAGCAATATTTTGGAACAAATGACGGTTTTTCAGCCTCCCACAACACCGAATCATGGAAAGATTTCAGAAGTTGTCTGTATAAATAAAACACGAATGTCAAAGTTCATACCTCCCTTTCTGCAAGTAATGTTTACCTTTGTTTATGTGAAAAACTGGAAATCAGAATATGAGTCAAGATTAGCTATTTTTCCACAGTAATGTGTCTGATTTTCATTGTCGGTGAGGGGGAAAAAAAACAAAGGTCAAAATAATGTTCATTATTTGTTAAAATCAACTGCTCAGTCCCCTTCTCTTCTTATTTTTCTTACCTAAAGCAATTTCACTTTTTCTTGTGCAGGTGGGGACGGATTCTTTCTCTATTGCCCAGGCTGGAGTGCGGTGGTTAAATCTTGGCTCACTGAAACCTTCGCCTCCTGGGTTCAAGCAATTCTCCTGCCTCAGCCTCCCAAGTAGCTGGCACTACAGGTGTGCACCACCACATTTGGCTATTTTTTGTATTTTTTTTAGTAGAGACAGGATTTCACCATGTTGTCCAGGGTGGTCTTGAACTCCTAAAGTCAGGCAATCCACCTGTCTTGGCCTCCTAAACTGCTAGGATTACAGGCATGCATCACCGTGCCCAGCCCCACTTTAAAAAAAAAAAAAAAAGAGTCACAAATCTAAAATACTGCATATTTATGCCTCTTAAAAAAATTAGGCATTCAGCATACGTTGCCCATTTCTTCTTCTCCTAAGTTCAGAAGCAATTGAAAACTAAAACACAGGAGATCTATAGACAGACAGAGGTTAAACTGTCAGCTTTATTATTGAAAAACTACTTGGAGAAAATGACATTAGATTTTGTAAACCAAAGATCCTACGAATCCTCTGTGACTGCCAATTTTCTCCTTTATCCCAATACACACCCAAAGCCTACCTCTGCACCCAAAGGAAAGTTTGGAACTGCCTCTAGGCAGGCAAATGGAAAGTTGACAGTCCTTTGGTTGAGTTGTTCCACCCAATTAGCACCCCTGTCATCATCTAGCAATTGGGTAACTGATTTCTCTGCTGGAAGAAGTGTCTGAGGGGTAGGACTATGGGCCATGAGTTTTATTTCAATGGAGGTCCTTCAACACAGAAACATGAGCCCAGGGAAAGAACTTTCCCTCCCAACAGTGCTCAATTCTATGTCCCTCACTACATTAGATAAAAGCAGAGCATGTTAACAGCATGACCAGGACCAGGAGTTTTGAAGCCCTGTATCAAGATAAACGGGTACAAGGACAAGACTACATGGAACTAACACCTTCCTTCCAACAGTCAAAAGGGTAGTCCATCTGGCCTATACGGCCCTGCGGTGGAGACATATCCTGCGTCCTCCCGTACATTTCCTGCCTTCTGTTCACTTAGGCAAAGCCATGTGACTAGTCCTGGACAACAAAATGTGAAGAGAAGTGACATGTGTCACCTCCAGACTAAGGCAATAAGAAGGTCCACTCCTTAGATCCAGTCTCTCCTCCCCTCTGCAGTAAGTGGGGAATTCCCGCATTCCAGATGGTACAGCTGTGCAGGTCAGGACCTCCACCAAGCTAGGTCCCAAGGGAACAGAGGGAAGTTTAAGAGAGCAAAATCAAGGCCATGGAGAACAGTAAAAACAGAAAGCCCTTGCCAAAGTATAGAATGAATTCTGAAACCAGAAACATTTTCCACCCCCAAAATAGGAGGCCTATAAAGTATTTGCTTGGCAAGATTTCTGAGTTGCTGCAGACCTGAATGCTGGGCCCCTCTCGTTCATCACCGCTTCAGGCGGAAGTGTTTACTTACATTGTCTTGATCCTGTTCTACCACTGCACACTGGGGGTGAGGGATGCATTTTACCTGTCTTCTAATTTTACTCATCCCTGAAACAGACTGGCCACATACAGACCTGACACAGAGACTGTTGTGAGATCACTCAGAGATTTTGAAATGACGCTCAAAGCCATGATCTGATGTGAGTTTAAGTTGTCTCCCTTGCAGAGCGAGTCCTATATTTGGGAAAAGGAGAGCAAAGTTGTGTTGGCCACAGAGAGAGGACTATGGGAGTGACAGTGCTTACCAAACATGGTGGTTAGACAAGGCCAAGTAACTAGCTCTGACTTGTGAGCTGTGGGCAGAAGTGGTCCCAGTTACCTTCTTCTGCTACCCACACAAGAGACTGAGGAAACCTTTGGCTGAGATGGCAGAGCCACAGGTAGAAGCATTCTACATAATTGAGTCACAGCAGGCAGCGCAAAGTTCCTGGAGAGTTACGTGGACCTACAGATTTTGCATGGAAAATAAATTCCTATTAAGTTAGAACACTAAGATTTGGAGTTGCTTCTTACAGTAGCATACTGTAGCCTATCCTCTCTTATCTAAACCTTGAGAAGCAAAATTCTGAAGCTCTTCAGAGCTCAGTTTCAATCTCATTTTTCTTCTCACTCTGTGGGCTTCTCTTAGGCAATTTTACATCTTCTTGTGGCTTTGAAGTTCATCTGTGTGGGGAGTACTCTCTCCCAAGCTTGCCCCAGACAACTCTGGATCATATCTGCCATCCTGGCATGATCAATTATGCCTCTTTCATTTTCAAAAGTACCCTGGTTTGGAGGATTAAATTATTTGGCCACCATATGTATATGGCAATCACAGAAAGTCCTTATTTTATGATGGGGTTATGGCACAATAAACCCATTGTAAGTTAAAAATATTGTAAGTCAAAAATATATTTAATGCTGGCAACACAGCAGATGGTTCCCAGATGGTTATAATGGTTAGACTTATGATTTTTTAAAATCTATAATGGTGCTAAAGTGATACACATTCAATAGAAAGCAGAACTTTATCATAAGCACAAGAAGTTCCTCAACTTATGATGTGTTTAGGATTGGGTAAACACATTGTAAAGCTCAAAACAATCATAAGTCAATCCATTTTAGGTCGAAACCATCTGTACACTCAAATCTCCATATCCAATTCTAGACCTCTATTTATTTATTTATTTATGTCTCACTCTGTCTATCAGGCTGGAATGTAATGGTGCAATCTAGGCTCAATGCACCTCTGCCTCCTGGGTTCAAATGATTCTCCTGACTCAGCCTCCCAAGTAACTAGGATTACAGGCACCATCACACCTGGCTAATTTTTGTATTTTAAGTAGAGATGGGGTTTCATCATGTTGGCCAGGCTGGTCTCCAACTTCTGACCTCAGGTGATCTGCCTGCCTCAGCCTCCCGAAGTCCAGGGATTACAGGCATGAGCCACCACACCCAGCCTAGACCTCGTTTTAGACCTTCACACATAGAATATCCAATCACATACCCAACTCCTCCACTTGTATCTCTCAGGACCATGGGCATCTGAAGTTTAAAATTTTCTATATCAAAACCTTTTTTCTTCTCATCTTCCCAATTTGCTGCTTCTCCAATAGGCCACATGCCATGCACCCCATTGCTGAACTAGAAGCACAGTGCCATCATTGACAGCTGCCTCTCCCTCAAGATCCATCAATCCTAACTGTGTAGACATACATCACAAACCCCACAAACCCACCCACTTCTCATCTCTACTGCCATGATCTGATCCAAGCCACCCTTTCTTTAAGCCCCTGCAACACCTTCCCCACTGGTCTCTATTCTTGCTCCTAGTCTCTACACAGTCGCCAGATAATCTTTAAAACATAAGTTAGATCACATCCCTTCCGAGTGTAAGAACATGCAATGATTCTAAGAACAAAATATTAACTCCTCATTTCTAATCCATAAGGTCCTGCTTGATTTTGTCTCTGTCAAGTTCCTAGGATATACTTCCCACCTCTCCCATCTTTCTGCTCCTGTCATTCTGTCCGTCTTTAGTCTCTATCAAACCACATGTTTTCCACCCCGATGACTTTGCACTTGCTATTCGGTCTATCTGGCAAAGACTGTTAGATGTTCCCCAAAGTCCACTTCTCCTCACCTACCCGGGTGCCCTTCTAAACTACCTTTCTCAGGCTTCCTTGAAGTTACTGTGGCCAAATAATGTACAGTCCCAGGCAATATGATGTGAAGAGAAGTAATGTATACCACCCCCAGGCCTGCCCACAAGAACCCCTCTACACTCTCCCTGTTGCTCTTTCTCCCCTTCCATTGGCTGTAAGGGAGATGACTGCCAATGCAGCTTTGGTGGATCTTCTGTCAGAATGAATTCCAGAACGTGGTCTCAGACTGCGTGAAGAAAAACGACCCCATCTTTCTTTCTTCTGTTCAGAACAGGTACCTGAGCAAAAAATACACTTCCACTGTGTTTAACCCATGATCTATTTGGGGGCCTATTATGATACCAGCATGTTTTTAACCAAAACTGTACTTGCAGCATTGATCAACCACACCACCCCCACCATGCACACACACACACACACACACATACACCTACCTCAGGCAGTCTGCATTGCTCATACCCACTCAGTATTCCAGGTTTTGATATTAAGATGCAATCCGTAACTCCCCTCATCCAGTCTAATTGAAGTTGTTCTGTCATTCTTTCTCTCTGTACCTTACTCTTTTTTGTCATTTTACTTATCACAATGCATAACTACAAATTAACTTGTGTGTTACTGACTTGGAGTTTGTGTCCAAACATTAATTTATGTGTCATTTATTTAAAGGTTGTGTCCAAAATCAGAACCTTTTGCCTGCCACAATAATATACATAGTGACTTGGCAGTACTGGGCTTACAGCAGTCGCTTAACAAATTTTAAAATGTATAGGAGGAATACAGGAGAAACCACTATTAAGAGGATACATTTTTGTATCTCAAGACCACAATGCTAGACCAAACATCTTAGAGAATTAAAATACACACCCTGGGGATTTTTTTAAACCTTTATTCATTCAGAATGCAATTCCGGGCCACTCTACAACCAAGAGAAAACCCTAAATTTTAGGTAGTGTTAAGAGACTAAATAATATAATAGTGTTGACCCTATATGTACAAGCGAGAAGTCGATTTTTATTCTTTTCATAAAACCTCTTTGTAAATATGTATCTTTTCCTTCCATCAAAAATGCATTAACAAGATCATGCTTACAGTTAGTCAGCACAAGAAAAAAATGATAATTTCTACCGAACTATTTAGGCCTTGCAGAAGAGTGCTCACAACTCTGAGCTGTATCTGTTAACCTTTTCAATAGCATCCATTATGTGACACTGTCGCCAATGTAAAATAACTTCACTAATTTTTAAAAGCTAGAATTAGTCAAAAAGTTCTGCATTGTAAATAATACCAGGAATATTGCATTTAAGCTTAGGATGGCAAAATTGCCTAAATCTTTTCTATACTTTTTGTGTAGTATATATAGGAAAATGAATACTATATAAGAGAATGAAATAGATCAAGTTCTTATATTTTTACCTAAGAGCCTATTTATTTTAAGTAATGTTGATTAATATTTAAATGATTAAAAAATAAATCAATGTTAAGTATTAACTGCACAAAATCTAAAAAAAAATTGACCACATTACATCATACTACATTGTATAGATAGACTTAAAGCAGCTAACTAGAAGCCTTTTTAAAAATTCAAAGTTTCTGACATCATTTTCCACCATTCCATCAGTTCTTCCTTCTCCTCTTCTTTCCTTTCAGAAAATGACTCCAGTTCAAAATCAACCTAAAAGAGAAAATCAAGAGCATATTATTTTATCAAACTGCATGTGTTTATTTAAATTGAAAGTTTAAAAAATATAAAAGCAGTTTACACTCAATCCCGTCTCCTGAATTAAAGTAAATCCAAAAAAACAAAAAAGCTCTTGTGATAAAAGATACTTTCAGGGGGAAGAAAATTCAAAAGCCTTATGTTTGAAATGTGCTTTGATTTAATAGCTTTGAAGACAGATATAATTCATCAAAATCCCAGCTCCAGTCTCTTCTCTTCATAAAAAGGTATGCAGTGGCTCACACCTATAATCCCAGCACTTTAGGAGGCTGATGCAGGCAGATCACTTGAGGCCAGGAGTTTGAGACCAGCCCAACCAACATGGTGAAACCCTGTCTCTACTAAAAATATAAAAATTAGCCAGGCATGGTAGAGCATGCCTGTAATCCAAGCTACTCAGGAGACTGAGGCAGGAGAATCCCTTGAACCCAGGAGGCAGAGGTTGCAGTGAGCTGAGATCGTGCCACTGCACTCCAGCCTGGGCAACAGAGTAAGACTCTGTCTCAAAAGAGAAAAACCAAAAAGATATAACTTATAGTTAATTTTCTGTCTTTGGCTATTTAGTGAGCACCTGCTGTCAGCCTTGAATCTTCTCCTAATAGCTGAGGGAATGTGGAATAATACAGTTCAGCGTGTTGGTATCCCAAACTACAAGGTTCTGCTTTACAAAATCTTGAATGTATTAAAGAAACTGACAAAAGCACATATGGGTCCAAGCCACTCTCTTTGTGAATGGTAGTCTTCATCAGGTCTATGGAGAAGCCACACACTCCATGTAAAAGGCTATTCAAAGTAGGCAATCCCCAACTCCAGTCCCCCTCAGGCCCCATTCCAGATGGAACCAAGGGTTTCCTGATTTGGCCACTTAAACGCCTGGTTACCTGGGAACGTGATTACCTTCACTACATCCTTGCATAATACACGCCAAAAAGACAAAGGATCAAAATAGTTGATCCTTTACAAATTACTCCTGGGGCAATTTTTCTAGGTTTCAGTTACCCAAATATACTTTGTGATTTTAATACACATACGGCCCAATGTAGACACGCACACAATCAAAGCCATATACAAGTCAAAAACTCAAGATATTTTGCTGGCAAAAACCGAGCATTTATACTCCAGGTTTTGGGTGCATAAACAAAAAAATAATAAATTATTTTCAAGTAAGCCTTGTAGACTTTTGAGAAATCCTGCAAGTATTCCCACGGTCTCGGGAATATAATACAAAGGCTGTAGTAAATATAAAACAAAGATAGTAGTCAATTTTGCTCTAAGAGAAATTTTGGTCTTATCACCATCACCTTCCTAACAAACAAATGAGATCTACTTAAATAAGACATTTAAGTACTTAGTTTTTGATAGTACTTAGCACAGAGAGCCTTGCACACAGAATATTCTAAATAAATGTTTGGTTAGCATCTAAAATTTTCTTTTATGGCATCTTTTTTGGTCAAATATTTACTATGAAAGGCACTGTGCTAGGTTTTAAAGATAAAAAGATAAATGGAACAGAATCCCATGTAGATTGAAATCAAGGTTGGCAAACAAAAATTTAATTTTTTAAAAGTTTCATTTCATTTTCTTATAAATCTCTTCAAAAACTGAAAGAGTAATAAAGCTTGATATTGACTTGGCTGAGCCTCAGTTTTCTAATCTGTTTAATGGTGATAACAATGTTACCTACCTCATAGGGCGAGTATGAAGATTAAATATAAGTCACTTCAGTATGCCTGAAAATGACAGATGCTTAATTATTGTTATAATGCTTGGCTATTATTCTGACAACTTACCCCAACAGCAGGGCTATAAGGAACTGCCACTTTCTTTGTTATTGCCAGATAACCTGGAGCTGAGGCTGTCAGTTTATAGTTTCCAGGTATAAGCAGTCTCCAGTAATCACCATCCTTTGCTGTAGGAAAGCAGAATATCAAATCACAAGGCACATGAAATAGGCAGCATTACAAAATGCATAATTATGCCATCTAAGGAATACCCAGTCTAGCTCAGTTCAACTTTTTTGATTCTCTATTTTTAAAGTAAATATATGGGGAATTTAATAAAATGTTATTGAATAGGGTGTGAAACTCTCTTTGCAGGCTTCATTTCTTATAGGTATTTTATAGATATCAATGTAAAAATGTCTAATAAACCTCAGGAGATCATAGACCTTCTAATCACATGAGGAGCAACACAGATGAAAAGACAGATGAAATCCCCAGGCAGCAGGGTCAGAACATGTAGCCATCATGTTTTGACTCTTGCCAGGTGAAGACCTGATGGTCAGAGAGTCTTTCACGGTATGTGGCCCAAAGGTAGTGCCCTCAGGATCTCTGAGGCCACAGTTAGAAATTTCGATTTCTAAAGACTTAGAATACATTGGGCACTCTAGTCCATTGAAACTCCCATTTTCCTAAGTCAGTGATTCTCAAACTTGAGGGCAAACGTGGGAAACTTGGTAAGCTGCAGTATCGGATTCCAGCTCCTGGATTCTGCATTCCTGACCAGTCCGAGGGCAATGATAAGGCTGCGAGCAGAGGCCACACTTTGAGGTCCAAGGTCTTCACAGAAACTTCACACCTTCTCCTTTATTCTAACACCACTACACATCCTGTTCATCCTCACTGCCAGTTCATACTTTACATCTTAATTTCATTGTGAAAATAGGTACAGTCAGAAAAAATTAAGCCCATTACCATATTGTTAAATCTACCTCTAAACCCACATCTACTTCAGCTAGTGCTCAATTGTCTTCTTTGCTTTATAGCAAAATTTCTGGAAAGGTTTGTCCATGCTCTCAATCTCAGAATGGCTCTTCTCTTATTCTTTCTTGAACCCAGTCCAGTCAAGCTCCCACCGCTCACACCACTGAATAGATTTTGACATGGATGAATCTGGAGAACGTCATCCTCAGCAAACTGACACAAGAACAGAAAACGAAACACCACATATTCTCACTCATAGGCGGGTGATGAAAAATGAGAACACATGGACACAGAAAGGGGAGTACTAGACACTGGGGTCTATTGGGGGGAAAAGGGGAGGGCCAGTGGGAGGGGGAAATGGGGAGGGATAGCCTGGGGAGAAATGCCAAATGTGGGTGAAGGGGAGAAGGAAAGAAAAGCACACTGCCATGTGTGTTCCTACGCAACTGTCTTGCATGCTCTGCTCATGTACCCCAAAACCTAAAATCCAATAAAAAAATTAAAAAAAAAAAGATTTTGTCAAGATTCTCTGAACTGCTAAATCCAAGGATTCATTCACAAGCTTCATCTTAGTTGGTGCTTTTTCACTCACTCCTTCTTGAAGCACTTTAAGGTCTCCAGGACAACACACTTTATTTTCTTTCTACCTTCAATTATGTTGCTGGTTCCTTCTTATTATCACCTTGCCACTGAAAACCTGGAGTATCCTAGAGCCCCTCTTCTGAGTTCACTTCTTTCCACCTATTTATTCCCTAGGTTAGATTTTCCTAAACTTTCATATCATGGAATGCAGAGAAAATAAATTACTTGTATGACACTTTAGGACTAACAGATAGGTTTCTTGTAGCAGGATACTATCGCTGGATTTCACCCTCCCAGCTAAGGGTTTAAGATCTTGGCACAGATTCTGGCATACAGGCTGGCACCTAGTGAGCTGTTGATACATGAAGAATGGAGTTTTAGAGGACAAGTGTTAAAGACTTTTTTAAAAAAATCCAAGCTATGAATGTGAAGGTTAAGAAAGAAGTGATGATACAGAGTGGTTTGGGACATAAGTTAAAGGTTAATCATCACAAGGTCTAAAAAAAATCGTAAAGCGTTTATAGCTGAAAAGAAAAAGCTGTCGTTATTGAAAAGATCTCCACAAATGTCAAACTAAAATGACCTGGATCTGTGTTTATTAATGGGAGTGGGTAGATTTGCCAGAAAAATACATCATTTTCCCCACACTGGGAAAATGGAAATGGAGCTCAAAACCTACAAGTAACTAACATCACACCTCAATCCTATAAATTATTGTTTAACCTTGAATCCCTGTGGATTTATTATACGGATTAAATGTAAAAATGTGTGAGAATTTTTAGGCACACAACCCGCAGCAGTTTCCTTCCTTCCTCTTTCTGCTCCCTCCTTGTCTCCCCATTCACAGCTCATTAGCACTTTTTAACAGAGACTTGAAAGTCACTGGTATTTTAACTCCAGCAGCCCGTTTTCCTTCACCTGAAGAACCGCGGAGAAACAGCAGCGAGTGGCACCTCCCAGCTTGGGGCGAGGTAGCTGAGGAAAGGGCGCCATCTGCTGCACTCAGATTTCTAATGCAGCAGCCGTCCTGGGCTCCACTCGACCTGATTCCACAAGTAAAACTCCACCAGGTCAAAGTTGAGAGATGCCTGTAGTGATTCGGGCTATTTGTTTTGCTTAGAAGAATATAAGACTTATAATTATGATAATTAGTAATTATGCTCTTATTCTTAAAGCTAGAACCTCCACATTGTGGCAAAGACCCACCGGATGTAACATCGTGGTCTATTCCTTCCACGGAGATGGTGGCATTGGCAATTGGATTACCTTGAAGGTCTCGGACAAATCCTTTAACTCCTCGGTGTATCTGTAAATGTCAAGAACAACCAAAATATTCATATGACCTATAAATTTATAGAAATGACCTTAAATATGTTTCATATCAAGAGTTCTTTATTTTCCAACAAATATTGTAGATCCCAATTGTTTAAGAATCAAGACACGCACAAAAAAACCACTAAATTTTTTGTGCATTTTATTCAGCCTTTCCTTAGAGAAATGAAAATTAATATCTTGACTGAGTCAAAAAAAAAAAAGACTTTAGTACCTTCCAAATCATAAAAAAAAAAAAAAAAAAGCGTCATATTTGTAAAGTTCTAATCCTGGTACATTTCAAAACTTACTCTTAAATTTGGTCATCTGTGTATACCTTATATGGCCACTGTTAATTAACAAGGATATCATAATAAAAGTCCTTTAGACCAGGAGTGGTGGCTCACACCTGTAATCCTAGTACTTTGGGAGTCTTAGGCTGGAGGATCATGAGGTCAAGAGATCAAGACCATCTTGGCCAACATGGTGAAAGTCTCTCTACTAAAAATACAAAAATGAGCCAGGCGTGGTGGTGCATGCCTGTAGTCCAAGCTACTCGGGAGGCTGAAGTAGGAGAATTGCTTGAACCCAGGGGGCGGAGGTTGCAGTGAGCTGAGATCGCACCACTGCAATCCAGCCTGGTGACAGAGCGAGACTCCATTTCAAATAAATAAATAAATACCCTTTAATATTGCCTCATTCTGGATAAAAAGAGATATACTGTGACTGCTTTTGCATTAAATCTATTAACATTATTTTGGCTGAAAATAAATCACATGAAAGAGTAGTGAACCTCATAACAAAAAATAGAATGTTGATTTAGAAAGAAGATGAGAGAGCTGCCATTGATAATAATCCCCCTAAATTAAGTTGTAATCATCAATTGGCTATTACTCAATACAATGCAAACAACAAAAACGGCTTTTGTCTTTATTTTGGAAAGATAATTCATCTAAGTCAATATGTGTTTGAAGTGACAGTCACTTCAGGTCTTTAAGAAAGTACTGCATCTAGAATATCAAATGGTAATTCATTAAACTTGATTACATAAGAAAATATGCACCAACCTCCCAAATGCTCAGGCTGTACCTCACCCAATTGGACAATAGGAAATAAATTTTCTTTCGTTAACTGATGATATTTAACTATTTCCTTACAGAAGACAAGTAAGTCTCCTGTAACCCTCTGTCATCAAAGAATAAGTTCGGCAGTGGTACACTGCTTTATCAAAAAGATGTCCCTCGTTACCAGCAATATTTTTAGTGTGTGCCATTTTTCTTAAAAAAAAAAAGAAACCTCTCAAACCCTATAAAAATAACATGTAATTTTTTAATGTTGCAAATGGGAAGAGGCTATCCATGTCCTCGGTAATAATGATAATTTTTTGGTAATCAGTAGAGCAGAAAGTAAATATATTTTTTAAAAATTTAAGACCTATTGAATTCTAACTTTTCTCCACGACTTGTTTATGAATTAGACAAAATTGAAAAGAGTTTGAAATTTAGCCGTTGGAAAACATGAAACATGAAAACTTTCTGAATTAAAATAAGAAAAATCAGAAAAATTGTAGAGAAGAAAAAAAGGGCCATATGTAGAGACCCAAACTCTAAATTTCTTAAAATAAGGCCCAGTTCAATAAAACTTAGATACTAGCTGATAAAAGAGGATTTACTCAAGTACTTTATTCCTCTTGAGGCAATATAATCCTAAAACTGTCAATATTACAAGGCTTAAAGAAAGTTTCTAATTTCTACATCACTGTAAAGTCAGTTATCACTACAAGAACACATTATTTGCCTGTATCGAGCACAAATATGTTCAGTTAATATTCATGGCTTTACTTTTTTCTGCCTCTGCAATCCAATGCTTAAATTGCCGCTTGCAGTTTAACAAATAGTAAAGGAAGTAAATGTCTGTGATATGTCAACTTTTCTGTTTGAAAAATTCCAGTGTAGAAATAAATCTCAGTAGATGTGTATGAGCTGTGTTAACTCTCGACGAATTCAGACTGGAAAACTCAGATTGTATGGCTTTTGCAAAAGAAATCACAAAAGTACAAATTTCACTTATGCCTGGAGAAGCTGTTTTACTACACGTGTGCTACCTGCAATGATCACTCGCCAAATTCCAGGACATCCCAGTTTCAGTGAAAGCTGAAAAAGCATCCAGAAGATTAGCCATTGTTGCTAGAACTGTTTACATCAGTAGTCCCTAAACCCTCATGTACTTAATGTCACCCAGAGAGCTTGCTGCAAATGAAGGTTCTTGGATTCTGCACTGCAGAGAGTGTGATTTAATGGTAGGAGAGGAAACTCATTTTTAATAAGAACTCTAGATGATTCTGATGCAGGTGCCCGTGAACCATTCTTTAAGAAAATCTTTGAGAATTTTGAGAACTAGACTGTTCCAAAGCTATTGAGTGGAAGGGAGGCTCTTCTCCTTAGCAAACTCTTTAATTAGCTTTACAGTTCTAGCGCCTGCAAACATCTCTTTAAAACTCTGCAAGGGATTTCCTCTCAAACAATTACAGACATAGATCTCCTAATCATTTACTTTCCATGAGTTGTAAACTAGTCCAAGCTTGGATTTTAGGTCCAGGTGTTCAATGGCTAATCACCACCATTGTCAAGACAACAATTACAACACAGAACTTCTGGCAGCCCTCACTGATTTTTCATCAGCCTTTGTTTCCGTAAACTGGAATGCTCTATGATGCGAGCTGGATGAGCTGGTCATAAATACCACTCACTGATCCCACACAGCTTGCATCATAATGGCAATGCCATATCAAGGTAGATCACAGGGATCTGCAGACAGAGAAAATTCTTATTCCAAGTGGCAAAAATAGGACTGTATAAGTTTATCCCTTTTCTTTTTAACTTATTTATACATAAATTGATATCACTGTTAGAGGAACTGGATGCATGCCCACCTGCCACCATAAATATGACAAATGTCCTTTTTCTTGATGGTAATAATATGTGTTTTATTTGTTTTATATTATATTTTTTCTCAAGAACTAAGAGATGATTTCAACAGCAGCTAAGCCTGTTTTTAAATTGTTGATCAGAGTGATGATCTTATTGGCATCAACGTTAGTAAGTCTCATAGTACAGCTCCAAGGAGGCTTTTCCAAAATCCCATGATTGGGTTAGGTCCCCTTCTGTGCACTGCCATTGTTCCTTGTAGCTAAGCCTTTTTTTTTTCTTCAGCCAGTTATTCTCCTGTCTTGTGATTAGGTATTTATGTTTCTGACAGCACTAGTGTGAAACCCTTCTGAGGGTGGTCACTATCCCCAGTGCATCACAGAATGCCTGGGATACGAAACTGGTCAATAAATTTTTGTTGCAAAAATATATACATAAAATTAAAAGCACTTTATTAAGGAGGCATTCTTTTATATCTAAGTGGAGAACAGCCCAGTCAGTCCCATCTTACCTCCTCTATCCAGAAACATACTTTTCAGTTAACTTTGCTCTTGGAAGATCCATCTAAATACAGCTCTCCTCAAAGGAGACATTCTGTAGGGGTTCCCACCAAAGCTGTTCTAGGGTCACTGTGGACTGCTTATCCTTAGTTTTTGTTATTGGAAAATATCTTTTTAAGCTAACATGCAGCAGGAATCTATTGACTTTTTAAGAATCCTGTGGAATGAGTGTTTTAATTACGGTCTGTTATCAGTGGGTCTATTCCATGGTAGTCCCTGGTAATGTATTACAATATACAAATATCTGGCATCTGTAAAAGAAATCCTATGCTGATTTTGCTTTTGCTTTTCTTTCTTTTTTTTTTTTTTTTTTTTTTGGTAGAGCAGCCTTTCTTCAAGGGAGGCTATAGCAAGAGATAGCCTGCAACAGGGCCTTGCAACAGTGGAAAAAGGAACTGGATTCGACTCCTGGTTTTACTTTAAAAAAAAGTATTGATCTTACATGTATATATTTATATGTACATATATAAATGCATAAATGTTTATTTAACAGCATTTGTTTATGCCAAATTAGTTTAACACATTGGTCTGGACTATATGTTGGCACATGAAACTAACATCACTCTACTTGACTTTGGGTGTAAATGGCCACATTCAGAACAAAATTTGAAGGCTGTCAAAGCCCTGCAAGAATGAACAGAATCTTTTAGGTGTTTCCCCCGCCACTGCCACTGGTGCCAATGTCTACACACTATACAGGGCGTGGAGTTGGCAGGCGACTGGCCTGAGTAGGTGAAGGACTTTATTCTGGCAGATGGTGAGATTCCCCACAATTCTATATGGATCCCATTGGAATGGCTACATAAATGACTCTCTGGTAAAGATCCCAGCTTCTGTCCTGAAAGGCAGTATAGTATGGTGATTCTGGAAAGAGACGCCCTGGATTCAGATTCTAGCTAAGCAATTTCAGGTAAGCAGTCTAACTTCTCTGTATCTCTGATTCCTCATCTTTAATTTAGTGATGATTATAATGATGATGATGATGATGATAACTTCCCTTATAAGGTTGTTGTGGGGATTAAATGCATTAATTATTACATAAAAGGCATTTAGAATAATGCCTGGGAAATAGTAAATAACCAATAAACATAATTCATTATTATTATTATTGCCTGGGATGCAGCTGAGTCTAGGGTGAGAAAGATGAGGCCTGTAGAGCTCAAAACTTATGGAGACATTCACTCTCAAGTGCTAATCCTGTACTTGCATGCCCCTGAGATTAAAATCCTCCTTAAAATTTGCATTCTAGGTACCTCACCTTTGTCCTGGCTCTGCCTGGAATGTCTCAAGTGATCAGGGTGAGAGTCCTAGGATTGCCTTGCTTAGAATAATACAAATGAAAACAAGATTCTACATCTTTTCTCTACACCTCTCCAGTTTAGTCAGTTCTTGTTGAATAGTCATGAGCCACAAAATCTATGACAAGTAAAAGCCTAACTGAAACACTGCTGACACCTGCCTTTCAAATGCAGTGTTCTCATTCTGCACCAGATGGATTCCCCTGGACTCTTCTTACAAGACCATTGTATGGCAGGTTTAAATGCTTCTAAATCTTGCATTTTATGCTGGGGACTCTGTTTACCTGTTCGAGGTAGCTAATGAGGGAGTTTTTGTTATCCTCCCAGTAGGTCTTCAGAGTCTCTTCAGGTGGGAACTTCTCACAGCTAAGCTCCACAGTGATCTCAAAACAGTTGCTGCTAAGGTAATTGAAGTCTTGCATCCCTGCCAAAATGCCAAATGGAAAGTCAAAATATGAATGAGGAGCCTAAAACTCTACATATGCTAGTCTTCTGAATCAAGAACCAAGTAAAAAATATGCAAACCAAGACATTTGGGAAGACTGTGGGAAAAGTTAGGGGAAATCAGCTGCTGTAAGGGAATGAACAACATAGGTGGGGGATTGTTTTACCTCAAAAGCACAAACTCTCAGCTTCCTAAGTGAAAGAGTTTGCTGCAACAGAGTGCTATTGCAAACATCACCCACCTTCCGCATTGCTGGAATGGCTTTGAAGAAGACAACAGGGTAAAAGGCGCCACTTCTACTGATCTGTTAAAGAAATGCACATCCCTCTAAGTGTACCTTTCTTCTGGAGAAGATCGTGGAGCTTCATGTGACATGATCTGACATACTATATTTTTCCTTAAGCCCAATCAATATCATGGTGTATTCCTGAGGAGTCTTGGCAATATACTATTGTCCACCAAGGAAAATGATGAGACAAGTCTCGATTGTTTTAGATTCTTTGCCAAAGTTAAGGATGTACCCCAGAGACAGGTCTATGCCTTTCTCCAAAGATAATTTTGAGGGCTCCAAATTTAAAGGGGAGAAGGTGGGATATTGAGAAGCACACCGTTTTCACATAAACAAAAGGGGGCAGAGGAAAAATGTGGGGAGTCTGCATTTTACATAAGATAACAGACAAAATGGGGTAGGGGAGCAATCAGATATGCATTTGTGGTATGACTATATTTGTAAAGATAAGATATCAATTTACATGGCCATGGTGAAGTTTTAACAGCTCACCAGGAATTTCCTCGTGGGCAAAATATGGGGGAGGCATGTAGCCTTTGGTCTTACAGTCATCTTATTTAGGAACCAAAAGGGGAAGGCTGGTGTGCATGACCCAGTTCCCAGCTTGACTTTTCCCTTTAGCTAAATGAGTTTGGGGTCCCAAAATTTAATTTCCTGCCACACTTTACATTAATTCAACAATCACTGAGTATCTACTACACATAAGATATAATGATAATAATACTTCAAATTGCACCAAAGAGAATGTTCTGCATCCAGAACAATTTTAATTAAATCTGACTCAAATTAGTAGTGGATGCTGTTAGTGCCCCTCAGATTGCTTTTATGGAGCCAGGACATCCAGCCTCAATCTGCTGTAGGTGTTGGCTACTAAGAGCTCACAGCTACCCCATCCCTACCCCTTTTCCAGAGAATTGCTGGTGGGAGCCAGAATCTCCCACATGGCTTGGGAGTTACATCCTCCTATCTCTTACCCCCAATTCCTTCTAGCAGCCCACAACCAATGGCTGACCAACATGGAGCCACCAAAGGCTGGTCCCCAACCATCAAGGGGAGACAAACCTGCCCTGATTTATGCTCCAGGCTTTTTCCAATGGCTTAGGCCAAGGCTGGGCTTTACCTGAGACCACACCCCTGTTTAGCTCTATCCCCTTCCTTGACCCACTTCCCTCGCTTCCCTACAAGATTTTTCCTAAAAAGTGCTCCCTTAATAAATTACAAGCATCCAAATCCCTGTCTGAGGTTCTGCTTCTAGAAAACCTGACCTAAGACATGGATGTTATTCACTATATACCGAACTGAAGACTATTAAAGCTTCCCTTAATTATTTAGTTAAGTGAGACATAATCTTTGACTAATATTATTTTTATTGTTAATAATGTTATTATCAGCATTTTACTAATATAGATCACCTTATATTTTGCAGACAATGCACTATTTGTTCAAAAAGGTGTTCCAAGACATCATTAAAGTTTTAATAAAAATTAAAATACAAAATTACTTCCCATCTGATGTACTAGACATGTTCTAAATCCTAAATTTGATACAGATCATATTTCTTAAGCTATTGGGGGAAAGTCTGATCTAGTTAAAATGCAAAATATGAATAAAAACAGAATTAACATGTATCAGAAAGAATATTTTTCTCAGTACATAATTCAACACAATTAAACATATTAAACAAACCAATACCTTACCCTACAATTAGCTAATGCTGCTACTACCCTAACAAATTTTCTTTTTCCAGGTAGGCCATAGAAAATTTTTCTTAAGCTAAGAGAAAAGAAAAAAATATAGAAATATCTTTGCATTTCACTCTTCATCCTTGAGTGTTAGTGAAAGTAAGAGCTCTGTAAAGTCTACCCTGGGACAAGGAAGCCAAGAGAGCTGCCTTGGCTGCCTAGGAAGGGGCTCCCCCAGCTGCTGTCCCACATGGCAACTGCTTCTATTTCAGACTCCATAAAAGGTGAAAAGCTACCTGATCTAATATGGGTTATTATTAGAGTAGTGAACATAAACTAAATATTTCATGTCAAGTAATCCCCATTAGCCCATCATTTAGTAAAAAAGTAGTGTGCACTAGGTTATGCTACAAGCCAAAGCAAGCCCTTTAAAATGTATATTTACCTATAGTGAAAGCCTGACCAGCATATACTAAGGATGCCATCTTATTCCTTAAGGCTGAATTTAAAAGTAGGGTAGTTAATGATATACAATTTATTATTTTCCCAATGAATGTCTTCAGTTCATTTCCTGAATCTCTTTAATTAGCATCTCAATTTTTAAAATCCACAAAAACAAAATTATACATAATAATCATTCATGCAAAAAAATGACTTTAATGGAAGAACCATAGATTCAGTTTACTTTTTAATGATGGAGGATGGTTGAAGATTCTCTAAATCTAAATCACTCTCTAATCTAAATGGTCATTGTAAAGAAGCTACTATCAGACAGCTCACTGAAAACTCACCTCCAGGTACACTGTACCAAGCACCACCATTGGTGGTTCCATCTACAAAGCTGCTGTCATCGTCATTCTTACGACATGGTGGCCGATTGGGGTCAGACATGGCTGGGTTGAAAGAAGAGTATGCCCGGGCCAAGCTTTGGAAAATGGCATCATCTGGGGAGGAGCTGTATTCATGAGCACTACCTAGAAAACAAATCCATAAGATTAAAGAAACGAGCATAGACCAAGCAGCATTGCATGTTTTCTAAAGAGCGATTCAGTGTTAAGCAATTGTATTGTTGATGATTTTTTTAGTTATGTAACTATGAGAAAGAGGCAAAAGTTTAAATACTAAATAATTACACTTAGTTTTTAAGTTATAAAACTTCCATTCCTAATACTACAAAGTAGAAAGTGGGTAGAATGGACACTCCACTTATTAACTGAAAGCTTCACAAGGAAAGGTAATAAAGTCATGGTAAACTAGGCCTGGGAGAATAGCAGGGAGATTTTTATCAAAATAGTTAATTTTAAAAAGGGCCTATATCAACCTCATACCCACTATGAATCATTCTCCTATATACCATTCAATATCTGGTTTTAGATTTTTTAAATCTACTGTATGTATTATAGAAATAAGTGGCATATTTTGATACACTGTATTCTTATTCAGGCATTATAAATTATGGAGGCCTATAAGTTTCCCAGTTATCAGCAAACCACAAAATCTCTAAATTTACTTAACAATATTATTTCACTAAAGATGTTCACCACTCAGTTTTCAATATCTAAAATTATCAACCCAAAAACACCGTTAAAAGGTGGGCAAAGGACAAGAACAGACATTTCTCAAAAGAAGACGTATAAGCAGCCAAAATAATTGGGAAAAAAATGCTCAACATCACTAATCATCAAAGAAATGCAAATTAAAACCATGATATCATATTACATCACTCAGAATGGCTACTATTAAAAAGTCAAAAAACAACAGATATTGTCATGGATTCCCACCACTGTTGGTGGAAATGTAAATTAGTATAACTTCTGTGAGAGACAGTATGGAGATTTCCCAAAGAACTAAAATCAGAACTATCATTCAACCAAGTAATCCCACTACTATCTATCCAAAGGAAAATCATCATTATATAAAGAAGACACGGGCACACATATGTTTATGGCAGCACTATTCACAAAAGCAGAATCATGGAATCACCTAATTGTCTATCAATGGTTGACTGGATAAAGAAAATGTGGTACATATACGCTATGCAATACTATGCAGCCATATAAAAGAATGAAATGATATATTTCGCAACAACATGCATGGAGCTGGAGGCCATTATCCAAACTGAAATAATTCAGAAACATAAATCAAATGCCACATATTCTTATTTATAAGTGGAAGCTAAACAATGGTGTACATGGACATAAAGGTGGAAATAATAGACCCTGGAGACTCCAAAATGGGTGAGGATGGGAGGAGGTGAGGGGTGAAAAATTACCTATTGGGTTCACTCTTTTGGTGATGAGCACACTAGAAACCCAAACCTCACCATTATGTGATATATCCGTGTAACAAACCTATACATGTACCTCTGAATCTAAAGTTTTTAAAAAGAAAATAATCACCCTGTGTTTACAAAGAGCTAACTTTCCAAAGGCCTCTGAGAATGGATGCAAAGCAGGAAATTCCCTGAAGCAACAAATATCAAGTTGAAAATATCTATCTGGCTAAAGCTTGCTTTGTCTGTAGCTTAACTGAAACTAGTTAGAGAAAGCCAAAGCACCACTTCCCCTCCCTGAACCACCAGAAACAGTTCCAATGGCAAAACTGTGTGAACATAATAAGACACATGTAGAGATCCACGTGGGACGTGATCAAGCACCCAGAGGCTGCCGCCATGTTTAAGCCATCTTCTACATGAACCTACACAACTTCTGTAATCGCTCCACTTTATCAGTGTCCAGGAGTGACCCAGGTTTATGCCTTGTATTTTCTCCCTTTCTGTTCGCTAGGTACTCTGTTAAGATCATGTTTTCCTTCACCTAAACTGGTCTCAGGAGCAAGCTGTACAGATGAGAGATTAAAAGGATTATAAATTGAAAAAGGGAGTCCTTTTCTGCCAAATAGATATGCCAACACCATATGAAATGATGAGGAGAGATTTCTGTTAAACATATTTATTTCAACAGGCAAAAGCATGTAATGACCAGTTTCTTAAAAGAATATTACAGAAATCATCCTATAAACCCTTGTACAGTATTATAAACTTTGAGCCAATTAAAGAAGCAGGAAGAATACCTACCACTCCGAGTCTCATCATATGGATAATTGGCCACAAGGTCTCCTCCATGGAGATTGGCAGAGAGTACAAAAGGAATATCCATAATCCAGTGAATGACAGCCTTGGTCTCAGGAGCAAGCTGTACAGATGAGAGATTAAAAGGATTATAAATTTAATAATCATTGGTATGATCACTTGACAGAGAAGACATAGGAAATGTAAGAGAATAAACTGAAAGTGGGTCATATTTTAACTACTTTGCAGTTGTCGTCATAGTAAAAAATAAAGGTTCCTATAAGAGCAGCATTCCTCATGTCTAACTTGCTCAGATTTATAATAAAAAAAATTTCAATAATGTTTAAATTTCTTTCAAAATTTTATTTTTGTGAGCTGTCAGTTTTCCTCCCTTTGTAAGTTGAAAACCAGCATGCAACTCACAAATTTTGGAATATGTCTGTCTGATCTGTAGTGGTTCAAACATTATTATTATGAATAGTTATGGATAAGACAAGGAGAAAAGAAAATAGTTGAACTGCAGAACAAGATTTGTCCTCTGTAGTGGTTCAAACATGTGGTAAAGTTTATTTCCAAATTTTGCTTACTGTTTTCCCAACTCCCCTCAACTACTTCAAACATTGTTCCTATAAAAGAATATTAGTTTGAGTCTCTTTCAAAGTGGACTGTAAAATATGTTTACTTTGGAATGGTCATCTTAAATTTTAAAATAAAGGCAAGTTTCAAGAATTCATGTTAAGTCTTTAGAATGATTCACTGACCCTCATATCTTGGAACCAAAACAAAGGAAAAAAGAAATGTATACCAAAGAAATAATGTGGACCCAAAAGCTGGATACTTTCATGCAATGAGTTTTTAATAGCAACTAGTAAGACTCTCAAACCCTAAGTACTTCTTTGATGAAAAGAAAAGGTTTTACTGGCTATGTAATCCATGCTGTTCTTTGGGACTAAAAATCTAATGGCATCAGTAGAGTTTGATGGTTATAATAAGATATTGTATTTGCAGAGCTCTTCTCAGTTTATGAATAGCTCTCACATGAACTATTTTATTACACTTCAAAATATTCGCATTGGATATGCAAAGATATTCATACCCATTTTGCAAAGAGGAGTCTGAGAGTTGAGTGTGTTAAATAGCATATCTAAGTTCATACAGCTAAGAGTTCATATCCAGTCTGTGAAACCATAAGGCTCAAGCTGTTTTTAGTGTATCAGCTTTAGTCTATTAAAATTATCCTATTTTCACATAAGCTACTCTTAACTGTGGAAAAGCGTGATTTAGAGTAGGAGGTTGTTTTTGTTATTTTTCGTTTGGTTGGTATATCTTATTTTTGCTAAAAAAAAAAAAAGTTTATTGTAGAAAATGTAGAGTAGATGGACAAGAACAAAGAAGAAAATTGAAATTACCCATAATTTTACCACCTAAAGATAACCACTACTAACATTTGTATATATCTTTTTCAGTCTTTTCACAATGTATTCATATAATTTTTAAATGTGATAATTTATATGCCATTTTAGATACTGCCTTTTTTGCTTGACAACAGATAATGAACACCTTTTCATATTATTAAATACCCTTCTAAAATAACAGTATAATGGCTGAGTGGTAGACAATGTCCAGATATACCATTCTTAAATACTAATAAAATGATAGCTAATACTTATTAAACACTTTCTGTGTGAGGCATTGAATTCTCCCATTCACTCTGTGAAATAGGAACTACATTTTCCCCCATCTTACAGGTGAGTAAACTGATATATAGAGAAGTTAGGGAACAGCATGAGGCCCTTCTGCTGGGAGTGGCAGAGGCTGGACTCGAGCCCATCCAGTCCGGCTCCACAGCCACTACACTAGTACTAGTAATCTCCAAGTGGTGATACTGTGTTGTTTATATTTTAAAAAATAAGGCTGGGCACGGTGGCTCACGCCTGTAATCCCAGCACTTTGTGAGGCCAAGGCAGGTGGATCATGAGGTCAAGAGATCAAGACCATCCTGGTCAACAGGGTGAAACCCTGTCTCTACTAAAAATACAAAAAAATTAGCTGGGCATGGTGGCGCGTGCCACTAGTCCCAGCTACTTGAGAGGCTGAGGCAGGAGAATCGCTTAATCCCAGGAGGCAGAGGTTGCAGTAAGCTGAGATCGTGCCATTGCACTCCAGCCTGGGTAACAAGAGCAAAACTCCATCTCAAAAAAATAAATAAATAAATAAAAATACTGTGAATGCCTTTGTAGCTACCATTTGTGCAAATTCTTTAGAGAAATCCCTAGAAATTGAATGACTTAACCAAAAGCTAAGCACATTTTTAGCTAAAAATGTTTAGGTTAAAATTTATATTATCTAAAACTGTTTACATTTAAAAATGTATTCCAAACTGCATTCCTATAAGGTACAGAAATATAACCAGCAACAGTATAATAAACCGTCTTTGCCTAATCTTTTTAAGAACAATGGAATTATTATGTGTTTTAAAGTGTGTCACGTTGATTAATGACAAATAGAATTTTTAAAGTTTGCATTATTTTAATTAACTAATAAAACTAGAACAGTTTTTTTAATATTTAGTGATTTCTTATATTTATTCTTTTGTGACATATTTATACAGTTTAACTTGTTTTTCTGTTGAAATGAATAGCTTTTCCTATTGACTTCCAAAAGTTGCTTAGTTAAAAAAATTAGCTCTCTACTACACACTATAAATATTTTCCAAGTGTGTCATGTGCCTTTCAAATTTTGTAATTAAAATACAGAACATTAAGATATTTATGTTAAGCACATGTCAAACCTATTATCTTTTCTTTATGATCTATTTGCTTTTCCATTTCATGCCTTTGTTCACTAAATATTAAGTGACCCCCATGTGCTAGTGTCTATGCAAGAAATTTAGAAAGTTCTATCTCCCTCTAAATATTATATACTTACCAAATTTTCTAGTTTCATACTATTTAAACTTAAATTGTAGTGTCTAGAATTTATTTTGATCTATGCTGATATTTAGGAGATGGATTTGTCTCAATTCCATGTATTCAATAATGCATTCTTTCCACAAGGATCTGAAATACACTTTTACTATATTTTGATTTCAATCAACCTAAAATAACTAACATGGAAGATGAAATCAAAATATTCTTTAATGTACATGCTTTTTTAAATGAATTTATGTTTTTATGCCCAACTGCTAACATGACATTAATATTGAGATGAGTTTAACACACTCTTCTATAATATTCCGTTCAAAAGTTTTTCTTTTACTACTAAATTTATTTTCAGTCCTTCCCTTTCTTGTACATCTCTCATTCCCTTTATTTTCTCTAACCCAATGACAGATATTAATATTTCAATAAGTTTAGAAGAGGCAAAAATCACCATGGTTTGGAGAATCATTGAGAACTTCAGGAAAGATGTGGACTTCAACAAGTCTAGGGACAAATTGGGATAGGAGAGTAAGAGTGAAAAGAGTGGTAAAAATAGAGAAGTTGGGAGTACCTGTGGTCCATCTGTTGCCAGTAAGGAAAATACTCTCTGGGAGAAAGGACTGGTTTTAGTGGAAGTTAGGAGGCAAAACTTTACCAAGGCAGACTCTGTCCCTGTGTTTATTATCCACCTAAAAGGGCTCAGAATGGCTTGCACAGTATGCACCATATATTTATAACTTGATACAGCCATAAAAAGTAATTCTGGATTAGGACTCAAGATGGCGCTGTGAGAACAACCCAGGATTGGAGCCCGCGTTGAATCCGCAAACGGTGAGTCAGTGCTGCATTTCCAGACTGATCTTTGTTGCCCACAGAACGGGGAAACTCCCAAGTATAAAAAGACACGGGACGCCAGGCAGTAGGTCTGCCTGGCGAAGCCGGCAGCCGGGGTGGCGGCGGTCGGCCCTACCCAGCAATCCCCCCAGGGCGCGCTTGTCCGGGCGCCTTGTTGAACCGGCAACCTGAGACTTGAGAGGGCTGGACTTGAGACTGAATGAGACTTGCACAGTAGCCCAGCCCAGGGGATTGCAGGGACAGATCGTTTGGGATACCCAGTGGGAAGAACAAAACCGCGATTTCAAACTATCCCAAGCAGACGGCCCGAGACGCTCTGTGGGGGAGGGGCGTCCACCACTACCGAGGCAACCCGCCCCAACTGAGATACACGCCCACTGCTGACACAGCCAGCCGTGGCCGAGGCAACCCGCCCCAACTGAGATACACGCCCACTGCTGACGCAGCCAGCCGTTGCCGAGGCAACCCGTCCCTACTGAGATACACACCCACTGCTGACGCAGCCTGCCGTTGCTGAGGCAACACGCTACAACGAAGAGACTCCGCCACAGGGCGTGGCGGAGACCACAGCAGAGCCTGCAGGAACAGGGGGAATCACACAACAGCAGGGCGGAGACTGGCAACCAAACAGTGGCTAGTCTGCCTTCTAGCTGGGCAGGACACCTCATCGAACATCCAAAAATAAAGCCCAAACCCCTCAACACAGAGCATTTGAGAAAAAAAAAAAAAAAAGGGTTTTTTAATGAGCTCTGTTGCAGCAGAATCAAACATAGCAGCCTAACAGCCCTGAAGGAAAAACAGAGCGCACAGCTCAGCAATTAAACCCCTATAAAGTACAAACTGTCTCCTCAAGCAGCTCCCTGACCCCTCTATATCCAAAAGACTGACATTAGGCAGGCATCATCCTGGGACAAAGATAGCAGAAAAAGAAACTGGTAGCATCCCTCGCTGTGCCACAGCTGCTAGAGGTGCACCCCAGACAAGCAAGGTCTGGAGCAGACCTCAGCAGTCGTACAGCGAAGGGGCTAGACTGGTAGAAGGAAAACCAAGCAACAGAATTACTTCATCATCAACATTCTGGGTGTCCACTCAGAGACCCAATCGAAAAATCAGCAACTACGCAGACGATCAGCAGACAAATCCACAAAGATGGGAAGAAACCAGCGCAAAAAGGAGAAAAACACCCGAAACCAGAACACCTCGCCTCCGAGAAAGGACCAAAACTCCTCACCAGCAAGGGAACAAAGCTGGACGGAGAATGACTGTGACAAAATGACGGAATTAGACTTCAGAAGATGGATAATGAGAAACTTTTGTGAGCTAAAAGATCATGTATTAAATCAATGCA